AAAGATTCTGACCTGGTAGGTTTTCCTGGTCCAACATAGAATAGAAGCTCTTTAGAAAACCTGCCCTCGGGGTATCAAAGCAGGTATCCCAAGCTACTGGGCCCGCTGGGCAGCACACGCTTGGTCTCTTAGCAGAGTTCAGGCAGCCTCCGCTGAGCGCTGAAGTCCTGCATTCTGACTCAGTCTGCACTTGGGAATCAGCTGGACCCTCAGACCTGTGCTGGGCAGCAGCCACTGTGTACTTAAAGGAAGCGGGTATGTCGTAGATGAATACTGGGGAAGAGAGCATCAAAGCACAATCATGGCACGACCAGCCATCACAGGCTAAGGGGCTGCACAGATTGCTGCAGGCGGCAGAGGCCCCAGAGCTGTCAGGTTCCTGGGCAGCAGAGGAAACTGGCAGCTCCCCCACGCCCCCCAGGAGCAGAACCACAGACCTCGTTGAGAACCCACTTCAGCCTTAGTACTACCCGTCCTCACTGGCCAGCCCAGCAAAATGGTGCCTCTCCTTTCCAACCCCGTTTATTTGTGAACAGAGCCGCACTGAAGGGAGGGGAAGGTGGGGGGAGGCGCTGCCCTATTGGTACTGATTTCACAGGAAGAAATCCACAGCTGCTCAAAGTCAGTCCCAAAATTAACAACGCCCTTGAGAATCTGAGGCGGGGATGAGGATGACACACCTCAGGGGACACCCACCCGCAGTCCCTGTTTCTGGCCCAGGACAGACAGACTGCTTCAGGCTCGTCCTAAATTCCTTAATTCCAGCTAGGCTGCAGCCCACTAACCTGAGGCCGGCCCCCAGGGTCCTTAGGATTGGCGGGGTTCTTGGTAGGGTTGCTTTGCCTAACTACGGCCTGAGGAGCTACAAGGTGGGGAGGGAGTCACTTCGGGAAAGCATTCAGCAATGTGTGCCCCCAGCGAGGGCCACCTCCTAACCCAGAACCTGTGAGGACTTTAACCTAGGAAGCAAACGGGACTGTGCAGGTGGATGAAGTTCAGGATCGTCAGATAGGAGTTGACCATAATTCTCTGGGTGATCCACAGGGTCCTCAGAAGAGGACGAGGGCCAGAGTCCGAGAAGGGGACGTGACCATGCTGGCGAGGCAGAGGCAGAGGACCGCCATGTGGACTGCAGCCGTGGCAACACAGGAGGCCGCAGCTAAGCAACGTAGGGGCCTCCAGAAGGCAGTTCTGTCGACATCTTGATTTGAGCTGTGTGAGACCAATTTTGGACCTCTGACCGCCAGAACTCTGAGGTAATAAATCTGTGTTGTTTTGGACCATACCTGTGTGGCCATGTGCGCAGCAACCACAGGAAGTGACCACACCATGCAGGACATTTCATCACGTGGGCGGCCCAGGGCAGCCTGGAACTAATTTCCCTCAGCCAGCTGCAGACAGGCCAGCCCTGAAGGAGGGTCATAGGAGGGCTGCTTCCGGGCAATGCTTTCTGCAAGCGAGAACGTCTCCTAATGATAACAGGATGGCTAGCAGGGTTTTGTTTTATGACATTTTAAGACATTCTGGATGGGTCCCAAGATTTGTATGAGCCTACGAGTCATTAGATTAAATCAGCATATAATTCCCTCCCCTCTTTTCATAAGAATTATTGTACCCCTTGCTATGAAGATGCGTGGAATTTTTAAGTCTTCCATTTTTATGGGCTCAACTCCACTTTTCTTCAACAGAAAAAAATGGAATGACAGATTAATTTTGGGCTTGAGATAAACTGCTCTATAACTTTTTAAATTAAGATATAACAGGTCCTTACGTGATCAGATTTCTAATCTAGTTTAAACAACGAAATCTATGAATATGTAAACATAACAGTCAGTAACGGCTTTCCCTATGGAACTTCCAAGTGCTGGGAGTGGCTTATGGAAACCTGCTCTGGTTTTCTAAGATAAAGTTGGAAGAAAATCCTGAGAAATGCACATTAAACCCACAGTAAGATATCACCTCAGACCTGTCAGAATGGCTATCATCAATAAATCAACAAACAAGTGTTGGAGAAGATGTAGAGAAAGGGAACCCTCGTGCACTGTTGGTGGGATTGTAAATTGGTACAGACACTATAGAAAACAGTACGGAAGTTGTAATATAGAAAGTCACACATGAAACCAATATGTTCACTTTGACCAATATCACCTCAATCAATTTAACAAATACAATTTAAAAAAAGAAAACAGTATGGAGATTCCTCAAAAAATTAGAAATAGAATGACCATATGACCCAGCAATCCCACATCAGGGTATTTATCTGAAGAAAGCCAAAAGACTAATTCAAGAAGATACAAGCACCCCTATGTTCATTGCAGCATTGTTTACACTAGCCAAGATATGGAAGTGACCTAACTGTCCATGGCACCTCGAATTCCCAAGCTCATTTATTTGTAAACAGAGCTGCACTGAAGGGAGGGGAACGGATAAAGAAAATGTACATATATACAAGTCTACTATTCAGATATAAATAAGAATGAAATCTTGCCATTTGTGACAACATGGATAGACCTAGAGGTTATTACACTAAGTGAAATAAGTCAGACAAAGACAAACACCACATAATTTCACTTATACGTGTAATTAAAATAAATGACACACAAAACAGAAACAAACTCACTGACACGGAGAACAGACTGATGCTTGCCATGAGAAGGGGGTAGGTAAGATGTACAAATTGGCAAATGTTACAAAACAGTCATAGGGATGCAAAGTGCGGCGTAGGGATATAGTTAATAATGTTGCAATGACCATGTATGGTGCCAGGTGAGTACTAGACTAACCAGGGCGATCACTTAGTAAGTTATGTTAAATGTCTAACCACGATGATATACACCTGAAAGTAATATAATATTGAGTATCAACTGTAAGTGAAAAAAATTTTAACTGCAAAAAAAATAAAAAGGAAGAAAATCCTAGCAAGCCACTTCTTCAAGAGAGAAACTAGGAAATCGGTCGCATGTGGAATCTGCCACAGGGCTTGGTCAGGACAAGACGGCTCATGGTTCTCACACATCCTCGAGTATCAGCCCCACCCAGATGTCTGGGTCCCAGCTCAGAGCTCGTGTTTCTGTAGGTCTGGGTGGAGCCTGATAATCTGTATTTCTAACAAGCTCCCAGGCAATGCTTTCCTTACTCTGAGAACCATGGTAGTGGAGGAACCCCTCTTACACAGGGCCCAGTTTCTCACAGGTCCTGAGAAGGGTTGTGACCTTACCTCGTCTGAGTGAACTATCCTGACAAGCTAGTGAACACACTGTGATTGCTGAAGCATCTCCATCGCCTACTTGACTCCCAGGCCTGGCTGCATGTTGGAATTACAGAGAGAGCTTTTAAACCCCTCAGGACCCAGGCCTCCCTCCAGATGAATTAAATCAGAATGGGACTGGGGGATGAGCGAATCTCAGTACTTTAAAAAAATCTTTTTTAAAAATTGATATTTAGAGAGAGGGAAGGAGAGAGAGAAACATCGATGTGAGAGAGAAACATTGACTGGCGACCTTTCCAAACATCCCAACCAGGAATCGAACCCACCCCGTCACCCCATGCTCCAACCAACTGAGCCACCCAGTCAGGGCAAGTCTCAGTAGTTTTTAAAACTCCCCAAGTGCAGCCAAGATGGGGAACTGCCGCTCTAAGCAAACATGAGGGATGGCAACGGACCAGAACAGACATTCAGCAGGGCCTCACGCTAAGCCCGGGCCTGTCCTCGCAAGTGCTGGGCTCTTGCCTCCTGCACCGGGACACGTGATCGGTGCTCAATAAACTCTCACTGAGTGAATGACAACTAACCGAACAGCAAACCTGAAGAGGACTAGCACCTCCCTTATCCAGGGTACCTGGGGGAGAAACAAATTATGTCCTTACAAATTGCTAAGCCTCATGAGGGCAGTGGCCCTATAATGAAAGAAGCTCTTTTGAGAAGGCTCTGCTTGGGAAGTACCACCACATTCCTAAGTCCAAATACATATCATAACTGCCATGGGCAAGAACTGGGAAACATTTCCTTTGTCCAGAATAAGGGCAGACAAACTATGACCCACAGGCCAAATCCAGCTGCCACCTATTCTTATAAGTAAAGTTTTATTGGCACACAGACACACCCAGTTGTGTCCACACTGTGGCTGCTTTCACACTACAAGGGCAGAGTTGAGTATTTTCAGCTGAAAGGGTGTTGTTTGCAAAGCCAGACATATTTACTCTCTGGTCCTTTAGAGAACAAGTTTGCCAACCCCGCCCCTAGAGATATAAGAGAACGTATACAAACAAAACATAATGGGATTGTCTTTAGGTGGTAAAGTTATGGGTGACTTTTTCTTTTTTCTTCTTCTTCTACTAGCCAGTTTTGGAGTTGTGTGTTTATAAGAGCATGTGAGATAGGGTATGTGGTGAAACGGCATAACCAATAGGCTTCCAGGGATTATCAAGCAGACAGTAAGCCTAACCCCCAAAGGGTTTATGGCTTAAAACCAGCAGAAGACCAGCTCGATCCAACATGGAGACTAATTTCACCTTGAGGTGGCCCCGAGCCTCATATACACTCACTGTAATGTGTTAGCGTCCTAAACGACATACCCTGGGCACCATGATCAGAAGGGAAAGCCCAGGTGAGGACCCAAAATGGCTGATGGGCTCTTCCGAGAAATCTTCACCCCTTTTCCAGAAAAATCCTGAATATCCCTCCTTTTACTGAATGCCCTACCCCTCCATTCAGTGAGCCCCAATAAAAGAAGTAAATCGCACTAGGGGGGCTGCTCCGCCTGTGGAGCAGCCACTCGGTGTCACTGCTTCACTAACACCCCCTTTCCCTCTCCGCTGGCTCCCATTTGAAGTCCTCCCTGCATGAAGCCAAGAGCCCACAGTGGGTCGCACACCTTCGGGTCCCTGGGCCCCAGAACCCTTGCATCACATGTGTGCTTAAATCATAAACGGAAGGAAAAGAAAGTCTGCCTCAATGTGGGCACTGGTGCCGAGCTGCCTGGCTCCCCACGGGACGGTACCTTGTTTCCAATGGCCTTTTTGGGTGGGAAGTTGTAGGCTCTCACTTGTGGGTATTTGTTCTGTAACTTGTGGTGCAGACTCCTAAACTCTGTGTACCGCCGATAGACATTCCACTCATCATCTTTTATCCGGATGTAGACCTGCCAAGAGAAGGAAAGAAGAACACTGAGACCTTCCTTAAAAGTTCATTGCAATGGGTGGGCGTTGGGCAGTGCTCACCCACATCTGTGCAGGGGCCACATCTGCCTCCCGGGCCACTGCTGCCCAGTGCTGGCACAGAGCAGGGACTCAGTACTACTGAGTGAACACGTGGGGATATGAAAGATGAATCAGGCAGGTTATGGGAACAACACACTGTATATATTATTTCCCCAGTTAATCTCAGTGATGCGTTACTCGTATTTCTGTCACATGCATACTGCAGCAGTGATAAGTTTCTGGGAGAGTCTATTCCTCCTCTCTGGCTATGTGTGTCCTCATCTGTACACGGAGCTAACCGTACCTCCTCCCAAGGTTGCATGGACGGCATTCAGGTACAGAAGCTTAACAGCTGTGCCTGGGACCACACAGACCACCAATCTATCTGGGGAAGGAGGGAGGGGCAGAGATGAGCCCGGCCGGATGGAAGGTCATGTTCAGATGGGTAAGCCCAACAGGGACACAAAACATCATTCTTTTAATCAAGCTGTAATGCCCAAGAGAGGCTGTCTCATCAGCTTTTCACAGGCCTAACACCCTCCAGGGACACACAGCAACTGCCCTGTGAGGGCAAACAGAAGTGGGAGAGGGATCAGTGCATTTAAAAAAATTGTATGAGTTAAGGAGAGCCCAGAAAGTAAAGTCTGGAGGATATATGGCTAATGTAATTTGCAATCAGCAAATGTCAATATACATCCTAAGACCTCTTTAACCATAAAAATAGGCATCTCAACGGGATGATAAATTCTGCCTCCACATGAAAACCACCAGCATCCCTGATGCTGACATCATGTACTTGCAGTTTGGTTAGGCGACTATCAGGGTCTCTCACAATATTTGAACAAGACAGAGAAAGGAGGACTTAAACCAAAGAATTGCAAATAATGAATAGAAGTTTCCAGGGGAATTAGATGGAGAAACAGAGGCCTATCGAGTTTATTAGAAGCCTCCAAGCTAAGAGAGGCAGTAAATACACTGGATGACAGATATCAAGTGACCTCATCTGGCCTGAAGGATGAGTCTAATCCAACGTGATGAAATTCACAAAGTTCAATGTCAGGACCTGCCATAAAATCCAAAAAACTAACATCGTAAGTATAAGGTAGGGGAGAGAGAGCACCCAGCAGTAGCCTGAGGGACAAAGACTTACAGGTCTCAGTAAATTCAAACTAAGTGAATAACGTGGGAGAGCCATTAAAAATGACAAAGCTGGTTGGGCTCAGTGGATAGAGCGTTGGCCTGTGGACTGAAGTCCTGGGTTTGATTCCGCTCAAAGGGCACATGCCCAGGTTGTGGGCTCGATCCCCAGTAGGGGACATGCAGGAGGCAGCTGATCAGTGATTCTCTCTCATCATTGATGTTTCTATCTCTCTCTCCCTCTCTCTTCCTCTCTGAAATAAATAAAAATATATTATATATATTTTAAAAAGCCCATGTAGCCCTGGTCGGTATTTCCCAGTGGTTAGAGCACTGGCCCACGGACAGAAGGGTCATGGGTTCGATTCCTGGCCAAGGGCTCATACCTGGGTTGCAGGTCCAATCCCTGGCCCTGGTCAGGGCTCATGCTGGAGGCAACCAGTCGATGTGTCTCTCTCACATAGATGTTTTTCTCTTTCCCCCACCCTCCCTCCTTTCTACTTTCTCTCTAAAGATCAATGGAAAAAATGTCTTCAGGTAAGGATTAAAACAAACAAACAAAACACCTTGAAATCTTCAGACCTCATTAAAAGGTAAATGGCAATGTCTAGAATAAAGGAGTTAAAAGTCTTGCTCTATCCTAAATCTAGCAGAGCAACTGGGTCAGGTTTTGGATGCCACCTGCTAAGAGATGACCTGAAATACAGCCAGGAGGCCCAGGACCACCTGCTACTCCAAGTGTGGTCTGTGGACCAGCAGCAGCAGCATCACATGGGAAGACGTCAGAAACCCAGCCTCTCAGGCTCCACCCGGAGCACTGACTATAAGGGATCTGCACTTTAATGAGAACCCCAGGTGGTGCATGCACACTTCAAAGCCTGAGGAGCACTAGGCTTTATGAGATGATTTACAACCAAGTTATCGGAAGAAAGAGAAACGACATTGGCGGATGATAACCTGAGCCTCAGGATAGAGGGGGTCGAGATCTCCAAACACCTGGAATGAAGCAGAGGCCTGTCCCAGTGACTCCGGGAAGCAGACTTCCAGCAGGTAGAAAGTAGAGAAAGACATTTCAGTAGAGAAGAACTTTCCAGCAGTAAAAGCTGCCCAAAGAGGAAAAGGTATGTCGCAAAGGGTTTCTTGGCGCTGGGTGTCCAAGCAGTGCTATGATGACTGATAGGACTGTGATCACAATTATGCAAGTATTTGATTTATAACAGTAACGTAGACATTAGATCCCCAAAGGCATCTGGAAGGGCCTGGCTAGGTATGGAGAGCTGAGCCTTCAGGCTCACCATCTCCATAGACTGAGTCAGTGAACAAATCAGCCTGGCAGAGCTCAGGGGATTTGGCGTATTTGGGGCATTCTCTGAATCCCTCTGAGTGATAGCAAGTGCTAGTTGCCCACTGAGTATCCATTTCCCCCCAATATTTCTTGGGATAGCAATGTATTCAGAAAGAAACCAAAACCTACATTTTCCATCTCCTTCACAGATAAGAGTGGCTAATGAGATATAAATAAAAGGTATTGTTTGGGGATTCTAAGTTTGTAAGGAGATCTGACTCAGCCAACAAGTGCCTTATTTTTTGTTTATTTGTTTGTTTGTTTGACTCTTCTTTCTGTCTTTTGCCTTCTTTCTCAAACACAGACGTGATGACTGGAGCTCCAGAGGCCGTTTGATGATCGTGAGGAAGTCATGAGAAGGGAAGGCAAAAGACAGAAGGACCTTGGGCCTCTGATGACATTTTGGATTCACTACACCAATTATTAAACTAGCGACTCAAAAAATGTTTTAACAAAACAGAAATATTTATCTCTAGTTTGTTAAGGGGCTTTGCACTAGTGGCTGGATACAATTCTAGTCTGATGTATCTTGAATGACTCTATCTGCTAGTATATTCTTATACAAGTCCAAAAACCTTCCCACCCCCACAGAGGGGCAAGTTCAATCACTTGTCTGATCACCACACACAAGACTAATTATCTAGATCAGGAGAGGCAACCTATAACCTATGGGCCAAATCCCGCCCCACCCATTTGTTTACCGATTGTTTATAGCTGCTTCTGCAATACAATGACAGAACCAAGTGGTAACAACAAAGACCATATCTCCTAGAAAGCGGAAAATATTCACTTTTTGGCTCTTTATAAAAAAAACAAAACAAAAAACTTTGCTGACCGCTGATATTAGGGAAGTCCTTATTATTGTTATTTTTTCACCAACATATCCAAGATCGAGTGTGGAGAAGGGCAGTGTTTTCAAATAGTCCCAGCCCCTATATTAACCATCTGCGACCCAGGAATCCAGCGTCCCAAAGCTTCCCTGGTGATTCGAAGGAGTAGGTGTTGTGGTCTGAATGTTTGTGCCCATCCATCCCTGACACCAAATTCTTATACTGAAACCCTAACACCCAATGCAAAACCAAGTTCTTTTTTAAAACAAGAGAACAATGTGAGGGTATAAGAGGTGGGGCCTCTGGGGGTGATAGGTCATGAGGGTGGAGCCCTCATGACTGGGATTAGTGCCCTTATAAATAAGACCCGGAGAGCTCTCTGGCCACTTCTGTCACGTGAGGACATGGTGAAAGGATGGCTGTGCATGAACAGGAAACAGATTTTCACCAGATGCCAAATCTGTAGCACCTTCATCTTGGACTTCACAGCCTCCAGAACTGTGAGAAATAAATGTCTGTTGTTTAAGCCACCCCATCTACAGCAGTTTGTTACAGCAGCCCAAGTGGACTAAGACGGTGGGCATCTTGGGGAACCCCTCACAAAAAAGCACAGGTAGGTGTCAGACAGACAGGCATTCCTTCCCTCTGACTATGTTTACAGAGAGCTAACTAACAGTACCTCCTCCCAAGGTGGCATGGACGTTATTCAGGTACAGTAGCACGCAGACCACCACACGCAGAAGACGGAACTCAATTTAGAGAAGGAGGGAGGGGCAGAGATCAGCCCGACCAAATGGAGGGTCATGTTCAGATGGGTTCGCACAACAGGGACATAAAACATCGTTATTTTAATCAAGCTGTAACTCCCAAGAGAACACTCTGGGGGGACAAAATGTGAGGGCTGTCTCATCAGCTTTTTACAAGCCTGACATCCTCCAGGGACACACAGCAACTACCCTGCGAGGGCAAACAGAAGTGGGAGAGGAATTAGTGCATTTTTAGAAATTACATGAGCTAAGAACAGCCCAGAGAATAAAATCTCCAACGAGAAATGGCTGTTGCAACCTGCAACCAGTGAATGTCAGCACACACGTTACTTAAAACCCCTAACACTGATCAAAGCAAGCATCTCTAATGCGATGCATTCTGACTTACATTTTTCAGGGCACAGTCAAGAGCCAGCACTCCCCTCTGTGGATGCCTGAGCCCCTCCTGCTCTTCAATGGTCCTCTTTGGCCTTCCATGTGGGCACCTCCTCTTCTGCCCGCCCTGTAAAGGGGAGGTCTTACCGGGGTCCTCCCTCCTACACCAATAGCCATGGCTTGGAGGGCTCCTACATCATCTAACTTCCAGCTCCGCCCCCTGCTGTGGCACCCAGGAGAGTGCCCATTTCCCTTAAAATCCTTTAATTTCTTAAATTCTTAAAAATTGCTTTACAACCAGGGTGGTGTGAACTTGCCTGCCTTTCTTTAAAACATTTTACAAAATGTTCAGATCAGGCCAAATATCCTGTCCTAGAGAGAGCACTCTTGGCCTCCCCACTTTCTTTGTGTTGTTTCTCCTGTTGTGGGTGATAGTAGTCATTCAAGAACTCAGAAGTGAAGGGCGTCGGGTTAGAAAGGAGCTCAGA